GAAGCGGGGGGGGTCCAGAACCGGCTATTTCATACTACTAACGGTTTTCAGTCATACTTTGTAACCGTACAGGATTTGGAGAGACCCCAAATTAGAACGTTTCAAATATCCAAATGGACGGAAGATAAGACGGCTAATGTGTATTACACTGTTTAAAGCGTGTGTTGGTGTTGGCGGGCGTCCTGATGTGAGCGTTTATCGACAATCCGTGTCACTGATAAAGTTATAAAAGTTCAAAGACGTTCGGTATTAAGTTGGTTGGCAATAAATAATGTTATCAGTGTGTAAGGCAACCGATAACATAGTCGATAATAAAGAAATCGACTGAACAATGGAGCCAAGTTAACTTTACTCCCCAGAGCACGCAGCGAGCACTGCACCGAGAGTCCAATTTTAATAATGTCGTGACCTTTAAGATTTATATCACTCCCACCAAAAAATATTGTGGCACTATTTTTCATCATTGTACATAAATTTCAAATGTTTCAACTTTCAACCCTAACATACGCGTCGTCTTCGCCGATACTGTTCTATATTATAACAACTTGCCTGCTGTATTATAGGTATTATATATAGTGAAGGAACATAGTGTGATTTTTTTTCCAATTTTAAAAATAATAAAACTACTTAGGCGTATAAAAGAGCCCTGTGTAAAGAACCGAGAGAAACCATTCTTGGCGTGTTATAATTCGACTCCATTAAAATTAATGATGATAAAGTCCACACGCATTCTAGTAGATATGTACCTACCTATATATAGATTATCGCGTAGCTCTATTTGTTTTTTTTTTGAGGTAGTTATAGACTATAGTCATATGATATTTTGGACTTGTTCTTTTCGATTTGTGTTAATAAACTATGATAAATTAAATGTGTTGCATATTCAGCATTTATATAATATAAGAAACGTAGTGTTTAACCATTAATAATAATAAGTATCATATTACGATCGGAGGGGATTGTCCATCGATCAGTAGCCAGCACATAATTTCATAATACAACATTACGATTTATATGTTTGACAATAAAAGACTATAATTTACGTTTGCGTTATTATTCACATTAATGATACACAACAAAATGTACTACTTGTTTTCTAGCCTTTTTAAATTATAATTTTGAAAAAATTTAATATTAAACAAAAAATTATTAGTGATAGTTGTCTTAATGTGATTCAAATATATAAATTTATTAGATCGATCTATCGGATTACTGATATTCATATAAATAAATTATAAAATATACTTAGAAATATACTCTGAGATTCCGATCAGAACCACTTTTTGTATTCAAAGATTTCATTTAATTCATATTTGACACCCTTTACTATACAGTATACAGTGGCCTACTCAATGACGGGAATGACGTGATACACTTTCAAAACCTACTATACTGGGATTCAGCAGAGAGACTTGTGTTTTTTTTTATAAATAGAGCGCGCACTGGACTGAATACTGATACGAAAATGTAACCAGATTTATTCATCTCGAGTGTACCAATTTTGAATAATGTGTTATTGATCATAGTTGGTACGTCGATACTTCACCGTATATTAATTAATAGTACACGTACACACTCATAATTATTGTAACAGGTACGAATAGTACTTATTTTTAATAATGTTCGGTAGAGCATGCACATCTGCAACAACGCCAGCTGCAGCTCTTGCAGAGTATAGTAGTGTAAATTTAGTACCTGTATACTATTTTAATATCTGGTCAAAGTGAATAAAAAAAAAGTATGACACAATGGTATGTAACGCGTATAATATTATAATATTCTTACCAAAGGAAAAATGGCAACCAGCACAATAGGAATACGCCCATAATGATTCCCAGCGTGCGAGCAGCTTTGTGCTCGGTCCTCCAACTCGTACTGGTCTTCGCCGTCGTAACTGAAAAATAAAATATCGTAAAAATTATTTTACAAATTTCGCACATAAAAATATAATTCCCGTGGAGAATATTACGAATTTCCATACGCCAAAGATCGCCGGGTACCCCCTCAATGAATTACACGTATTTTCCTGGTTAAATACTGTTCACTCGCATGCAGACTATACGATTATAACGAATATAATATTATAATGTTATTATATATTCCAAACCGTCGTGGTCGATTTGAAATTTATTTCAAGTGTTTGGTACAGAATATCTCATAATATTAAATTATGGTTTTTAAATCGCGAATAGCACATGATAATATTGTGTTTGTGTGTGTGTGCAATACGTCCGCACGAGTGTATTTACCGCGGGTACATCGGGATGTCAAAATCAGCTCACGTAGAAGTTAAGGAAACTATAATCCCAGCAATTGTGAGTGTGGGATGGAGGGTATTTGATAATTAATGGTGTACCGCGTAAATCACAACGGTATATCAGCAGTTAATTAGACCAGAATCCTGATAGTATAAAATATAACATAGGTATACCTACGTAACATCAAATATCAATTAAGTTTAGTGCGCATTTTATTCCGCTACACCGATGGTATGGAATACCTTTGAATAGCTTTCAGCAGTTGTCATAATCGAAGCCGTACGTTAAAATATTTTAAATTTTAATTTCAATATCTCCGGAATATATGAATACAAATATTGGTCTTCTCCCAAAAAGGTCTGATCACTAGAAAAAAACAATGCGAGAAAAGTTTCAGACATACTAATTATTTTTAACCCATGCCACAAAAGCTATCTGAAATCGCATTTTCCATCAAATCGAAATTATACATTTACACAACTTCAAAGCTCTTATAAAAATCTATCTATGAAATTTTTTTTTACTCCTTGTCAGGTATTTCAACCTTTTTTTTGAAAGCGGTCACTTAAAAAAAACAACTAATAACAAAAATCAAGGAAAACCTCTTAATGTATTATTAAGCAACATCATTCTAAGACTATAGTTTGATCGCAACAATCGAATTAGTGTTGGTTTTAGTAAGTTTGCGAATGTACGCATCTTTATGTGAACTATACCTACCACTATATGTCATACACTTGAAAACAATTTGTATTAAATCGAACGTCGCTATAATACGATAGGGTTCGTGCACCAGATATTTAGTTAAATTTTATTAAGGGTTATTGTAATTTTTAGTACCTACCTACTTATGCCGTTGATACGATACGTAACTGTATAATATATATAATGTTATAAAACACTAATATGAAACAGATCTTAGATATTGAAAAAATATAATAAAAATTCAGGATGGTTTAGTGGCCAATATTCAATAACTTGTATGTTGTGGTGTACGAGTATAATGTATAAACTATACTACTTTTTAAAAGTGGAAATTAAAATAAAACGTAATTAATTTTCCGTGATTTCGATTTTGATGTACCTACCATACCATTATTGAGTTTTATTGCAATTTATTTAGAACCGTCTACTTTAAAATTAGCTGTCTCAAGCGTCAAGCCCGCAGCTGTTGTATTTTAATTTGAGATGGACCAACTAGAAAAAAACCGTCTTGTTCAAAACGTTTCGAATAATGTTTTTTTCGAAGGTGGCATCGGCACAGTTTGGACACAACTGACATTGATACATGGCGTGACACAAGTTTCTTCTCGAACGGAGTTTATGAATTTGACCCACTTGGCCACTTTTCTTTTAATTTACTCAATCCGCGGCGTCCAAAGTGTTAGCAAGCAAACAGTCAGTAAATCTATTCTAAAAAGTCCGTTACGATTTTCATAAAAAAAAGTAAATAAACGCAGCTGCGTCCTTTACACAACTCGCTGTACCGAAGATAAAACCTAAAAAAACCCTTTTCTAATTCACGTTTAAATTAATTTTGCGATTTAATTAAAATTTACTGGTCTCGTGAGTAATTCGTCTGTGGCGGAGGTACAAAGCTCTGCTAAAATATCTGCCGGTCGTCCACGGGATTACGCCGTTTCTGTATAATATTGTGCAACATAATAATATAATATCATTATAATATTTCGATGCAACGAGTGGCGTGTCTGTGTGTGCGTGTGTGTCAGCCGCGATTGAAACCATAGCGAGTCCAATAGCTTATTTACATTTCTCGCTCGTTTTGCAACATCGCGATCGTTCCATAATATTTTTGACGGGCGTACCCAAATGTGTCACAAAGATGATCTATGCAAATCTTCCAATGATAAATTAACAATATTATTTGATTCGGTCGGAAGACAACATGACAAGTGAAACCCACCGACGTCAAAATTATAGACCGCTCAAGAATATATTCTCTACCATTGCACCGTCCACACGTCACTACGACAACTTAACAGCTGAAACGTCGAAACAAAAAATGCATAACACAGCAACTATAGAGTACGATTTAAATATTTAATAATAAATAAACACACTTCTCACAAATGACTATTGTTGTTTCTATGTTTAATAATAATATGTTGTCCTTTATTTTTAACTAAAGTTTTTAGATTTATCTTGAATGTCCTCGAATAAATTTATCAACGGTTTATTTATACCAGTTTATACTTAATGTTTTTTTTTTTTTTATTTAAATACAAAACTATAGCACTGAAATGGATTACATTTTGTTTGTACTTTTCTAAAACTATCATAGTTTTTGTCAAAACTTAGTAAAAACAGACATAGTTCTTAATATTTGGTGTTTGGTGTAATAAATGGAAACACTAAATGAAAGACGCCATCCTGCATACAACTTTCAACTTTAAAAAAATACGTTATTAATTTTTATCTTTCGTTATATTTCATATATAGGTCAATTTAAATAATTATAATATTATTTAAATTTAATTTACGTTAATATTTTTTTATTTTTGAATTATTTAGATTTTTTAAATAAATTAGCATATATAACGATGTTGTCGCTATATTATTATTATTGTTTATTCGAATAAAAAATTATAGTAGTTTGAAAATTTCGTATGCATGTCAATGAATCAAAAAAATGTAATTTCTACAACCATGAGAAACATAATCGAATATTGACATCTCTAAATTTGTATTTATCCTGAAACTGTTTCAGGTTTTAATAAATATTATTTCAAACATAAGAAATTATTTATAGAAATTATTAGGTTAACAGTTTATAGCATAATTTTGATTTATTATTTGTATTTCAATTCAATGCAGTTAGTTATTTTTCAAAGAAAATACTGTTAAAATAGAAATAAAAAATAAATAATTATCCTCATTCGATTAATTATTTATGTACTAAATGTAGAGTTTTGTCTTTACTCATTATGGTCTCTGAACTTTAGACAGATATCGAGAAGGTGTTTGGTTTTTTTATCATTTCCAGTGCTGGAGATTTTCTCATAAAATATTGACGACTGCAATTAATAAGGTCGACACTGGTTCTGAAAACGTCTGAGGACGAAAATTGTAATTACGTAATAGTCATTGCAGCTTACCCGTAATAAGTAATATTATACAACTGTTGATCGTATTACAATATAAGTGAAAAATTTCAATTTTGCAGATATCATCTCAGGTCGTCGAGTGAAGCTATCGATGTATATTATTACAATACAAGATTCTATTCAATAACGCGACATTGACCTCGATCTGCGAGTGGTAAATTATTTTGGACCCAGAAAAATTGATTTTAATTTAGCGCGATGACGAGACGACGGTGTGGCGCTTTTATTCAGATTAATCAGCTGCCTTTTGCGATAAATCCTGCCGAGTAGCTTAATTGCGTAGGTACTAGTTGCTGCAGCGGTGCATTTAAATATTTTTTTAAAAATGATTTCCACCTTTCTAATTCCCCCTCCCCTCCACCCACTGTTTTCGTTTTAATGTGGGTTCTTACACGAAACCCAATGTTATAATTTAAGTGTATAATTGTATACACACACATACAATATACATAAATAAATATATATATATGAACATTTGTAGGTCAAATTCCGGGTAGACTATATAACCGACCGTAGTTGTAATGTTGTGTCGTATTCAAAACTCCGACCCACCCATTTAATGTATACGGACAGTATTCCCTCTCGGGATCGATTCAAATGCCTCGACGAAGCGTCCAGATTAAAATTATTAAGGATATCATATTGAAGGCCGATAAATCTGAGAATGAGTCCTGCAGCAAACCAACAGAATAGCCATGCATTGAGTTTGTTTATGCATCATGTTGTTGATATGAATTAAAACTGCACTTGTACACTTAAGTTATAACTACTAAATCTATGCTAGTTGACAGCAGCGGATGGTTAATCGTTTACAGCTGAACACTGTGTCCTTACGTTACATTGTAAACATTAATCGACTCAATGAGATTTCGATATGTTTTGAATACATATAACATTTTACGAGATCAAATTTACTATAGTACCGTTGAATTATCTTTCCGATGACTGACTACATAATAATATATTTTATTATAGATATATTTATTATAACCATAGGAACAACTATCGAATCGTTAGAGATACACGCATTCTACATATAGAAATGCTATTCGTTAAATTACCTACCAAACAAAGTAAATTATTCCACATACAACCCGTCATATTGTTGTTCGTTTATTCATCAAGATAAAGTTATGTGGGACTTAAGTCATTAAAAATTGTTGTGTGTGTATAGTGCATTAATCGATATAAAATGAATAAATTAATATTCGGCTTATTTTTCATTTTATATTGAATTAAATTACTGAAAAAATGTTAATATTTATTCGATATAAATTTTTGACAACATTTTTTATCTTGTTTTATTGTAGTTCAAAAAATGAATGGCCAAAATTCTTCTCAAAATTAACATTTTGAAAATATTTTGGTTGTTATATTGAGCTATTTATAGGAATGTCAAATTTTTAACTTTTTTTCAGATTTTTTCGATTGATTTATACTATTGTATTTTTTTAAGTAACAAAGTAAAAAAAGTAATAAAGCTTGAAAATGTTAGACAAATTTGTTCACAA